CGGAAAGCACGGGAGATCACTTCGCCCTCTGCCTCATCGCCTTTGAAAATGTCCACCGCAGTTGTGGACGAAACGTCAGGAAGAAATTCCGATAGACCACGGCTTCAAAGCCCGGAAAACATTCCTTAATGTAAACATTTTATGTTAATTGGTATTGAAAACGTACCTTCACTATTGTCACCCGATGTCGATTCCTTTTCCTCCGCTGTGGAATTTTCGTCTTCATCCTCCTCATCCGAAGTGTCGTCTTTTTTGGGGAATAAAAAGTTGGTGGCCTCATTGTTCAGCTGAACGAGTTCTACAACAGATGAACATTCTTGACATTGTGGCGCAGCCAAAAAACGCTCGATCCTCACCAGAGTTTCGCAGCTTTCTGAATTTGACTATCAGCCCCTTGTCCGATTCATTGGGCTTGGCTTCCTTTCGCTTGGCGCATTCCTTCTCCTTGTCGTTCGATCTGAGCTTAGTCGAGAGCACTTCCACTTTGTAATAAGTCTTGTTGTCCGACACGAGCCTTTCGTCTGCGGAAATCCGCTTCTGCCTGTTAATGCACGCTCTTTTCGGCCGTCCCGATTCCCATAATTCCGGCTCATTAACATCTTTCACAGCCGCACACGCCGTCAGCTTCTAAAATTAATTTTGCTACTTCATTGGGTTGGTCTCACTCTGTAATTTAATATTGCTGATGGTGATTGGCTTGTTCGGTGGGAAATTACAAAATTAGTGACAAAGTTATGTTAAAAAAGAGCGCGCCTACCAAAGGGGGAAACTGGTGGGTTGTTCGCGCTTTTCAGTCGAAAAAGACGTGAAAAACTCTACTCTAAGCATGCAGGATGCAATATATTCAAAACACTGATTGAATCAATTCTGGTCGTTATGCAAGTTGCAATGGATGCGAAAAATTAGCATGCAATGGGGCAAAGTCTAAGCTACTCGCACCATTCCATTCAACTACTGAAAACTTACTGCTAACGCTCTTGTACTAGATCTCAACTCTCTATATTCCTTATACTCAAGACGTACAGGCTCAATCTCGGGTTTTTCCTGGAAACTGTCCTCGTCCAGGGACGACGACGTGTAGTTGATGGTTTTTCTGGAGCGCAGTCGGTGTCCCACGTCGCTTTCCAGGCCCGGAGGCGGCTTGACAATATCGGAAACCACAGAGGAAGCGCGCGTTCTTGGCATGTTGCGGCGCTTCTTCTTCGGAGCGAAATCCTCAAAATCTGCAACAATTTGAGAGGGTTTTTCAGCCAGAGTCAATGGAATGGAAGTCAACTGCCAGGTCATGCACTAGTAAATAATCAAAGGTGATAAAAGCGTGAATGCGATTAATGTTGAAGCGCCGTGAGCTGTCGATATGAACGGAAAACTGCGCGATAAAAATCGAATTTTAGCGACTGTAAAGTTGAGAAACTACAAAGGGCAAACTACCTAAATGGAAATCATTCTCATCCGTACTCCAAACTTGACTACATTAAGGAAACTGAAAGCGATCGCTACTGAAAGTTGTTAATGTTTCTGACCTATTGCATCTATGCCAGTCAGACTCAACAGGGACTCAATGCCAACATCAGCATGAATATAACCGTTCAAAGCTATGTAATTGGTGTCTTCGCCAATGAGTTTCTGATGCTTTTTCGACTGTACATGATCTTCGAGACTGTTGTAAGGGAGGTTGCAAATGGCACAATACCCGGACTGTAGTATCGGGATTCGAGGTCTTCTGATCCTGATGGGTTTCCGAGTCATTATACTGTCCTCATCAGGACTGAGAAAACTACCGTTTTCTGGGGCTTTTACTAACGGCGACGACGATCTTGTATGCTTAACAGCGCCTTCCTAAAACATGGAATTTTGCAGTTTTTCCACACGAAAATCTAATATAATCAACGGCTTTTTGGGCCTTTAAACTGCTCTGATACTCACTAGTTTCTGCTTGCTGCCTTCCAACATGGCATGGTTTGTCCATTTCTGAAAATGGAAAAAGTGCTTATTTCCAACTGTAAAAAGCACGAAAATTTTTGAGTTTTTAAGTGCAATTTTGAATGAAAAAAAATTATTGCAGAAAATAGAAAACCTTTTGCAATTCCCTCAAGAAACCACAAAATTTTCAAATTCATCGCGCCAACTGCACTTGCTCCCTCTATAATTGATAAGCAGATAGAGTGATGGAAATAAGAGCAAATGACAACAAATTCAATAACTTTACTGTAATCGAACAACAATCAAGACAAGAGGCATAAAAATGCAAATAATTTGAACAAAAATTAGCAGCCCAGTGACAAGAGAGGCTGCGTGAAAGTAGGTTAAAACCCACTTTGACACATGGTGTTTGGCAACACTGCCAAGCGATTTTCGCAAACATAAGGAATATAAATAACGAACAAAATAAATATAAACAAAGCAAATAAATGTGTATTTTTTCGCTTCAAAGGCAATTTGATGGTGGCGTGCGTGTGAGAATGCGATCAGAGCCGCTCGGCTCGACTACGTTTTGCCAGTCGGATCAGCGGACTGATTCACTTTGAGTGTGCTGAGCGGAAACTTGAAAGTGTAAAAATAACGAAATAAAATCGCAAAGTGCAAATACTTACATAACTGTGGAGGGTAATCAGTATGCGGCATATCGCTGGGAATATATCGAGTTGCTTTTGTCAGAAACAAGCGGTAATTTCTCAATAAATTGGTGTAATTTTGCAACAGAGCCCAACAACAAACAGCCTTAAATTGGCCACATGAAAACACTCCGTACAGCCGACGGTCCGACACGTCGATAAAACTGTTCCAGCGGGCCCGTTTGGAATGAGTTTTTAGCCAGCGGAGCCAGCCTAAAGCGGGACAAAGCAGCTTGATACAAACTCGGCCATTAAACCGAAACTCTTACGCTTGCCTCCTGTTACACACCCTAGAAAGTGTTTTAAATCACGTCGCGCCGCTCTTCAACATCACTATTTAATCCCAAACACTTTCTTTTGCTCCTGGGGATACTTTCGTACTGGATAAATCACTACTTTGTCGTATATTTGCGAATCAAAAGCTTCAAAACATTCACCAATCCGCCACCATTGAACTCGATTTCGCTAGGCCGTCGTCAATTGCTCGACGTTGTCTAATCGCTGCAGCCAATTTCCTGACCTTCCCCCAAACCTCACTCGGTCTATTAACAACACTTTTCCTAAATTTAATTTAAATTTAAAAAATTTAATCGCCGATTTTCCCTACTAGCAGAACAACTCTCAATAATGCCCAATTTCACTCCACTAGCTACTCACTCGATAATGCGGTTGAATCGAGTACTGGAGTTCCCTCTACATTTGGGCACAGTGGCATCGCTGGCTATGCCCGCTGTCAGCCACTACCAACTTAAAAAGGTGGAAATGTTGATTTGAAAAAGAATTAAACAAAAATTTCATAAATGATTAGAATAAATGTTGAAAAAATCAGCTCATCAAAAGGCCTCTGGCCGTTTAACAGGGGAGTTAAATGAATCTGAAAAAATGACTTGTTTGGGCATTTAAAACGGCGCCGACGTTGCCAGAGCGGGCAAAAAGTATTAGGGCGATGGGGAAATATACAGGGTGGTCAAATATTGCAATTCAAAAAATTGGTTTCTGCAAGTTTTATTTTTTGCTGCGTCCAGCAAACCGGCTCTGAAGATGTACGCCACTGGTGCTTGCAAAATGTCAGGATTTTTTTCACTTCCCAGTTTGAATTAATCGCCGTGAAACCCCCCGTCTTTTGATAATCTGGATGGATAATTGGGTAGGAAAAAGTAGGGAAACAAAAAAGTCTTCAGTAATATGGTTTTATCCGCAATAAAACAACACAAAATATTTCTTAAAAATATCATACACTGTAAATAGGTATTTATTTTAATATTATATACTGGTGTAAAGTTCACTTTGCTTAGATGTAAATTATAATCATTATATCCTCCCCATTCAATACCTAATATGCAGATACTGTAGTCTAAGGGTAACAAATCATGATCGCACCGGAACAACTGAAACGGAAAATTCTGAAAATACAACAAAAAAGCACAATATACGGCGCCCAACAAAGTTATCAAGCCTTTAAATATCAGCAGCGACCAAACCTCTTAAATGGTTAACTCTAGTAAACAGTTTCTTACAAAGTCTAGGTGATATTTACAACCAAGGTACAAAACTCGTATAACTAAAGCGTTATTTATAAAAGTAAAAAAACGGTAATTTTTCTGGAACCTCTGGAAGATCTATGATTGTTTTATCGGGGCGCAAAAAATTCGTGGAACCTCTCTACCTACGGAACCATGAATAAATGTTAATCTCTTTGAACTATGATATGTGAGGGTACTATTCTCGAGCACATTTTTTCTCGATAAACTATGGTGGCAGACCAGCCGCAGCTTCCGTAAGTAAAAAGTACCTTTCACTCAACAATGACGGCAAACAGTAACAATTTATTTATGGGTATACAGCCAGAATCCCTATGCGTTATCGGAATTTGATGGAAAACTCCCATTCTGTGCCGTATACCTCGCACTTTTGTTACCAACCCACATGGCTAACAAACCACGGCCACAAGAACGAGATTAGAATTCCGGAGAAAATTCCTGAAATCAGCGCTGCTCCTGCGAACATTCCTGCCACTGAAGCGTATTGGGGCTCCACAGTACTGAAACAAAAAAAATCGATTTCAGACTTTACGGACAATCGCTTAAAACACAAGATTCTGGACGATTTTGATGAAACTTTGCGCATATTTAGAGTCAAGTGTCTTCTAAAGCTAGTGAAACTTTCAATTTGCTACTCCTTTTGGTTTGGACGCTGCGATTTTTTGAGGGGCAGAGGGTAGTTCTAGGGAAACATCATTTTTGAGCCCAACCTTTAAAAAGCTCGCATAGCTCAGCATTGGGGGCGATTTGGATGAAACTTTCCGCATTTTTAGAGTCAAGTGTCTTCTGAAGCAAGTGAAACTTTCAACTTGCTACTCGCTTTGGTTTGGACGCCGCGATTTTTTAAAGGACAGAAGGTAGTTCTAAGGAAACATCAATTTTGAGCCCAACCTTTAAAAAGCTCGCATAGCTCAGCGTTGGGGGCGATTTGGATGAAACTTTTCGCATCTTTAGAGTCAATTGTCTTCTAAATCTAGTGAAACTTTCAACGTGCTACTCGTTTTGGTTTGGACGGCGCGATTTTTTAAAGGATAGAAGGTAGTTCTAGGGAAACATCAATTTTGAGCCCAACATTGAAAAAGCTCGCATAGCTCAGCATTGGGGGCGATTTGGATGAAACTTTCCGCATCTTTAGAGTCAAGTGTCTTCTAAAGATGGTGAAACTTTGAACGTGCTACTCGTTTTGGTTTGGACGGCGCGATTTTTTAAAGGACAGAGGTTAGTTCTAGGGAAACATCAATTTTGAGCCCAACATTTAAAAAGCTCGCATATCTCAGCATTGGGG